GCCCTCAAATTTTGTTTGATTATGCCATATTTTTATGGAGAATAGGGCAGGGAACACTGAGCTTATTGAAATGGTTGAGATATTTGAAAATGTTTAAAATTTGAAATAAATATGCTTTATATTATATATAAAATATTTAGCTGTACTTACTTAGGTTTAGCTACTTCTTACTGACATCTCTAATGCTAACTTGGAGACGTCTTTCTTGCTCAATATGCCCTGCTTAAGGACTATGTCAATCTTAGCATGTGCTTGAGACTTTTACAAGGTCATATTTTTATGTTCAGTGAGCATTCACTTGCCTTTATTTGTGATTGTATTTTGACTTTTCTTTTTCTTTTTCTTTTTTTTTTTTGGCGGAACCAGGGATTGAACTTAGGCCCTTGTGTTTACCAAGCAAGTGCTTATTCTACTGAGCTATCTCCCTGACCACTGTGATTGTATTTTGAAAAGACTCAGCTAATAATTAAATTCATATTTGAACCATAGAGAACATGATTCATTTAAAAACTAATATGTGGAAAAAGAAAAATGGAGAAAAAGTAAGAGTTGTTAGCAGCATGGTATAATGAGGCTGAAGAGACAGGAGTGGGGAGAATTAGACTTCGTTTGTAGGTGAGCTACACCCTGAAATTATGAGTCATAATCTGGTTAACCTTTTAACATAATTAATGTAAGACTCTCAAACACTATCTTGTTTGGCAAGATAGGAAAGCTCAGATACACTTCTACTTTCTGCACTGAAAGCAGAGGTTTAGGTTTAGAGTAAAGTTTCTGACATCTGACTTCGAGCCTTTATGGATTTGAGTCGCAGTGTATCTTATGGAAGGTCTCATGTCCTGTTTCCTGGCTAGCGCTGTAGAAATGAATGGGCAGTACTCCACGCGAAAGGTCTCCACAGCTCCCCCCTGCCAGGTGGGAGAGCTGAGGCTTTCATTCCCTTTGGCTTTCTGTGTGGCATTTGTGAGCAGCTTGATGTATTTGACACGCGTGTGACAGAAAAGAAGTGTGTGGGCAGGGCAGTGTGCTGCGGGGCCCAGCTGTGTGGATTTATCTGCGTATCAGGCTGAAGAGCACCCGTTAGCCAGATCTGACAATCAAGTGTGAGCCCTTCCACCTCCAGCCCAGAGTGCATTTTAATGCTGTGTGTGTTTACTTGCCAGTTGGCATTTGACACAAAGGAATTGTCAGAGCTGCTTTCTCCTATCTTCACTCTTTAGTGTGTTAGTCTCTGATGGTTTCCCAAATAAAGGCTTTATTATACATGGGTGAAAGGATGTACTTTTAAAAGTAGAGCAAAAAAAGTAATAAACTCTTTAATTGTTGTATTGAATTCCAGCTAAGAATTAATGTATAATATAATATGTTTGAATTCGTAATACCTAATATTTGAATAGTTAGGATGTTTACATTTTTTGAAAATTAAAATAGATTATTTTGAAGAGGTTGTTCCTGCCTCTAATTTTGAAAGATCCATTTCAAATTTGCCACATACCCTTTATATATTTTTAATATGAATAGCAGATGTTGTATGTCATTATGATTGTTGTTGTTATTATTATTATTATTTTGCTTTCCAGTAACTCCTGGAGAGTTTTTTAGTTCATGAACAGGGCAGTTTTTGTTTTGTTCTTGTTTATTGTTGCATGGTATTTCACAGTACCAGTGTACCTTAGTTTATTTTACTCTCCTCTGTGGTGGACCAGTTCATTATTGCTGATCTTTGTGTTTATTGAGATGATTCACACACCATGAAATTCACCATTTTGTAGTGCTCAACACAATGCCTTTTATTATTTTCAGGGTTTATTCCACAAATAATGACATAGTGAGTAGCCTTGTACATCTAATTGTGCTACAAGTATATTTGTAGTATAAATACTCAGAAGCATGATTCTGGCTCAAAAGATAAAAGAATTTGAATTTTGAGGTGAATTGTGAGTTGCTTTCATAGATGCTGTACTATTTTATACATTAGATAGCAAAGTACTGTGTGAGAGGACCGGTTTCATTTACTTTTTTTAAAAAAAATTATTTAATACAGGGTCTACAGGGTCTCACTATGTAGCTCGGACTCATAGTTATCCTCCTGTTTTTAGCACCCTGTGATTACAGGTGCGCACCACTCATTTACTCTTAAATTGACTTTGCTTTTTAAAAGCAATTTTTAATTTTAGAAAACAATCACGATTTAAAATTGTGATCTTCATGAATTACTGATGTAAGTTAACATTGATTTCTGATGGATTTCACCATGTGAACATGACCCAAACTTTTTTTGAAGTTCTTAAATATTGTTATTTGTAATTGATCTTGGTAGTTGAAGGGTAAAATTGCAAGTAGTGAATGATGTATGGGCCTCATGATCTCATCTGTGTGGTCTTGAGTGGTCTCCTGACCCCCCCATTCTCCCTTATCATATACATATAATGATCACAGCATTAAAATTTCCTAGTGGAGGAAGGCCATTTATATTCCACTTGCTCTACAGTGAGAACATTCTTGTAGAATATTTTTCTTTTGATATCTGTCTGAGTTACATTGTTTTATACTTGTCTGATGCTCTGAACCTCATTTGAACTGAGAAGTGGTTATTTCACAATAATTTAGCTGAAACATTAATTATACACAGAGTTCAGCTACCACTGACACTTGTTGACCTATGGGACATACGTATTTTTTGGTGTTTAATCCGATTTAGATGGAGAGTGTATTTCTTTTTAGGAGTCTGTACGTTTGTGCTCCTGCTTTTACACAAATTAGCTTTATTGATGGACTTTCATGAAGAGCTTTTAAGGTGGTATTTATGAATAGAGTTTTAAATTATTCAAGACTTACATTTTTTGTGACATTTATAAATATTCTAGCACTTAGGGTTTATAAGAATTTGTAAGAACTGGTAAAAGGTATACAGGAAAATGCAGGCTTTTCTGAACTCAGAATAAAAATTGAATTACAAATTTTTGATGAAATTAGTAGTGGCATGCATTAATATGCAGGTGCAGCATATGCTTGGTAATGTCTTTAGTTCTTTTTATGCTGCCAAAACAGTTAATATTGAGAGCAGATAAACCAGTTAACCAATGAATGAATTATCCCGATGATGTTGTGTGCTGTGTTAGTATTCTAGGTTCTTAGTAAGGGAGAACTGTTCAGAGTTTAACTGATCAGTCACTTTTGCCATTATAAATGAGAAAATATCCACCATCAAAACAGAAGGGTTTAATTAAATAAATATGTTGGGATTATGCTTAAGAGTAAAATTTATTGTTTTGTTTCATGTAGATCAGACTTTTGCTGTCTTTCTATTCTTTTTCCCTTTATTCACTTTGGATTATCATTTAAAAATTTTAGAAAAAAACCAAGTTTTATAGAACCAACATGATTTGTTCTGGACTACTCTGATTATGCTGAGTTTGTGGTGGTGGTGGAAGAGGACAGGACTCAGGTTCTGTCAGGGTGTGCTGTGGAGAGCCAGTGGCTGGGGGCACCAGTGAAGCTGAAGGGCAGTTAGGACTCACCAAGCCATTCTCCATCAGGTGGGGCTGTACTTGGACAGAACAAGGTATGCAGATTCTTAGAATGATACGTTACTGGATAAAAGCAGTCTTTCTTAATTAAATTTAATTTTGTTACTTCATTTTGAAAAGTAAAAGATAAAAGAACAAAAATCAGAAACAATGACAGAAACAGGATAACATACAACAATATGTATGTTACGGATTTTCAGAACAAGAATAGCTGATTAACAATGGGTGATATATTATCTATTTTTACTATCAAATTTGTTGCTTAGATTAACAGATACAGTTATGTAAGGTTGAACATATGATTGCATATTACTGTTTGCTTTCCAGAAATCTTAAATTTGTGTTCTTTTTATCTGTTGTTTTTCTTTTTATCTTTTTAAAAAAATTATCTTGAGGAGAGTATAGTAATAATTGATATGACGTTAGAAGTGGTACACATTTAGAAGACCAAGATGACAAATATTCAAGCATGATTTTTGTATTTCTGTCCTCCATGTAGTTGCTTAGATTGTAGATATCAGCATACAGTTAGTTAAGGTGAAAATTCTGCGTATTAGTTATTTAAAGGTAATCCTGATGTTCAGTTTTTTTTTTTTAGTTTCATTTGAAAACCTGTCATTTCTAAAAGTTTTTGTTATAAGTAGTATGTGTATGTTAATTCACACATACATACACAGAGACTCCATGTATACTTGAATAGAAGATCAGATATCATGTAAAAATGAATCTCTTAGAAGAATGACCTTATGTGTATTTGATTCCTTATAAGCTACCTTATAATATGGGACACTCTCTATTTGAACAGGGAAACACTGTTTGAGGAAGACAGAGTGTTCTGAAACAATCTCAGACAGTGCTTGCTATGGTTATTTAACAAATATGCTTCATAAAACTCTAAAGGAGGCGAAGCAAAGAGGCTTAACACAGATTTAGAAATTCTTGTAGAGGTGAAAGGTCACTTTTATAAAGCAGTATTGTAAGTGGGCATGATGAAATAAATATTTACAGGGTAAGTAAATATTTCAAATATCCCGAGATTGTGTAAGTAGATACTTGTGGCTTTGTTTGGCATTTCTAGGGATAGTATCATAGAAGGGATGAAAAGTACTATATCTGAGGCAGATTGTACTGATAGGATGAGTTGTTCTGGAAAACTGTGTTGGGTGACTCAGAAGTGACCCCAGTGAAGAAGACCTCAATACCAAAGATGTATACAAAGAATGAGCTGTATTGTCTCATGAAATGGGAATGAGAATAAAAGTGAATGCTTCATACGCTGTATAGTTTGAAATGTGTGCAGTTCAATTAATGCACTTCATAATCGGTGTTTGACCGATTTCTGTTGCCAGAAGTTTATACGTTCAAGTTTGGCGTACATTTTTGTATTCTGTCATTGGAAAAACAAGATATTATCTTTTATTCTGGTTCCTTTTTTATTTAGTCATATATATTACTGTTATTTTTCAACAGAAACGGAGGCTTCTTGAGGAGCTAAATGACACTTGGCTTCCTTATCTGACTCCTAAAGATGATGAATTCTATCAGCAGGTAAGACATTTTAATATTTTTGTTATTTTGTACTGATGTGTTCTGATTCTCCTTTTTTTTTTTTTAACTGTAAAGCTACTGGTTTAATGAGGGTAAATGAGAGGCAAGAAGGTCTGAGTTGATCACCCAGTGATTGCTGGTCATATACCAAATGTACAAGTTCCTGTGCAGTGTGCTTTCTCTGAGAAGTTATTAGTGTTTTTTCGTACTGCGCTGTTTTTTACCCCAAAACATTGCATCATCTTTCCTGCTTCTTTGTCTCTGCTCATGCGATTTTTTTTTTTTATTATTATTAAGTCTAGAATAAACTTCCTTCCCTTATCCTGTTGTTGGATAGTTCATTTTTTTGAGTTTAGGTAAATCTTGCCTCTTTAGTGAAAATTTCCTCCTAACCTACAAGTTGAATTAACTTGTATTCTCCTTTGTGTTACTTACAGTTTATAAATAACTCTACTGTACCACTTAATGCATTAGATAGCAACTGTAGGATTCTGCGTCTGCCCTTGAATTCATTATCAATCTTCCATTCTGAGCACCAGCAATGCTAATCAAATTCATTGTGGCAGGAAAAAAAAAAGTGGCCTCATTTAGAAATCTGGGAGGACATAGATAAATCCATCTGTCCTCTCAAAACTTCTCACTCTATCACTATTTTTTTCTTTCATTTTCTTGGGTTGGGTTTTTTGTGTGTGGCTTCATCCTGAGTAGATTCTTACCTGATAGCATAAAAGCATTTACATAGCTAACTGATTGTATGGTCTTTAGCTTCTGGGGTCTTAGAAGAAGCTAGTGCATTGAAAAGTTGTAGGCATGCTGCACCAGCAACAATAATAAATGTTCACCTTTTTCTTCCTATTAGAATGAGTTATCTTAACACAGAGGAAACAAGAGAGGATGTTAAAGGAATTTTTCTGTCTACAGTCCATATCTCTTGACTTCTAGTTTATTGCAGTTCTAAGATGCTGTCTCTCATCTATATTCACATGAGATTTTTGCTGCCTTTTAACTTTTTTGTTCTCTTCTGGATCGATTTAGTTTCCCTCCCTGACCCTCTCAGACCTTTGAGCCACTGATTTTTTTTCCGACCAGGACATAACTCTGAGTGTGTCAAGCCCATGGTTTGCTTCCACAGAGTATGCTCATTGTTTATTTTCAGCCTCATTTCCTCTGCTCCTCTACCTTTTTCTCCAAAAAGTTTAAGTTTTTCACTACCTTAAAGAAGCTATGTAGTTACATGCTTAGGGCTTTCTTGCTATATCCTCTGACACTGTGTCCTTTCTTGCTAAACTTCTGTGCTTTCTACTAATAAAAGTCCACATGTCATCTCTTATAGAAAGCATCCCTGACACCTTGGTGGCCCAGAAAGTTGTCTGTATTTTCATTGTCATACTTTGTATTGGTCAGCTTTCTATTGCTATAAGATATATAATAACTGCGACTTAAAGAAGGAAAGGTTTATTTTAGCTCATAGTTTTAGAGGTTTCAGTTTATCGTTGGTTGGCACTGATGCAGGAACATCATAGCAAGTGAAAGTCACTCAACTCGTGATATTTGGTGTTATGGGTTGTATCTAGATGTTTCCCCATCCACTCTGGACAAGCAATTCCCCACAAAGGACTAATCAATTCACCTGATCCTGGACAAGGACAATGCCTAGGGAGAGAAGGGAAGAACCAGACCTAGTGACCATTAACATTAAGTGCAACGGTGTACCTGCATGATCCCCCTTCTCTCCACCTCTACCCCCTGCCCCATGGACTACATCCAGCAGAGAGCAGGGGCTTATTTACTTTTTGTCTGCCAACAGAGCAAAAGGCACACCTTGATTGGATAACCACATTCAGAATGAACAGACAGAGGTTCTTCTGGTGCAGGGAGGATACCTCAAAAAGCTATAAGCCCTAAAGCTAGGTGGAGGAAATTGTGACTGGTTGATCCCAAGACTGTGGTTCTTAGAAAATAGCTATTCATGCAGGGATGTTTTTCTTTGATTTAATCTTTTTTCATCTATTTTTAAAAATTACTTTTTTTTTTGGGCTGGGGAGTTGGCTCAGTGGAATAAGTGCTTCCCTGGCAAGCGCAAGGGCTTGAGTTCAATCCCCGGTTCCACCAAAAAAAAAAAAAAAATTACTTTTTTTTTTTTTTTTTAATTTTAGGACAGGGTCTACAGGGTCTCACTTCATAGATTGGACTCATCGTGAGCCACCTGTGTTCAGCCTCCCAAGAGCTGGGATTACAGGGGTGTGCCACTACAACCAGTAAGACTGCCATCTTAATTGCCATCTCAGTGTGCCCTGGGGGCAGGGCCGGCATGGCGCAATGGGAATTGAACCTCCACCACTATGTCTGCCTGAGCAGGCGCTTTAATCCACTGAGCTATTTGGCTGGCCCTAAAATTACTTTTACATTTTCTGCTTTGGGTTTTTTTTTTTGGGGGGGGGGCGTTGTTGGGGTTTTCCTCATTTTTAGGAGGCTATTTTAGTTTTTGTTCTATTTTCTTTTCCCCTTTCAGGTTTTTTTCTTCCTTCTTTATTTTATCGTCTGTACTTTGCTTTTGTTGTTTTCTTGTGTTTCTTGTTTTCTCCTGCTACTGTTCTCCTAACATTAGAGGTCACCTGCAGAAATTCATGGTAACAACAAGCAGCCTCAAAATTTTGAAGGATATCTTAGAAAAAGACAAGAAGTCACTCACCTTATGATCATATCTAGTGTTATGGGTTGTGTCTAGATGTTTCCCTATCCACTCTGGACAAGCAATTCCCCAGCAAGGACTAATCAACTCACCTCATCCTGGACAAGGACAATCCCTAGGGAGTGAAGGGAACAACTAGACCTAGTGACCATTAACATCAAGTGCAAAGGTCTACCTGCACGACCCACTTTCCCCTTCCCCCCACCACAAAAAGTCTACTAGAATGAATACACCAGGTAGAGTGAGCACAAAAGTGGAAGGAAGATAGGAGATCAACAGTAGAAAATTGAGGTAATGACAGTCCCCCTCAGTAATAACTCTCAGTGTGAATGAGCTCAGTTCTCCAATCAAAAAAATAGAATAGCAAGATGGATCAAGAAACAAAATCCAGCACAAGAAACATGTGCACTCCAAAGAACAAAAACAAAAACAAAAACCAAAAAACAAAACAAAAACTCATGGACCAAATATTAAAAGTTAGAAAATAATGTTCTGTGCAATGAGAACCCAGAAAAATAGGTGTTGCTGTCCTGTATTCAAAGTACATGTTGAGCCAAAATTGATCAAAAGAGGCAAAGATCACTACAGTACTTACTGATCATGTGAACAATCTAGCAGGAAGGAATAACAATTACTTACATATATGCACTGAACAGCGATACACCCAGCTTCATAAAATGACTACTATTAGACTTAAAAGACCAGATAAAAATTAACACAATCATAATGGGTGACTTCCACATTTTGCCGTCACAAGTAGATAAACTAGGCAAAAATCAATAAAGAAATATCAGCATTGAATAAAACCTTTGAATAAGTAAACTCAATACTAGTTATCCACAAAGTATCCGCCCAACAACAGAATACATGTATATATTATTTTCAATAACACATGGAATTTTCTCTAAAGTAGGCCACCTATTATCTGGTAAAGTAAGCTTAAGTAAATTTAAGGGGGTTGAAAGTATAGCATCCATATTATGAAATCATAGCACAATGAAGGTAGAAGTCAACGACAAAAGAAAATATATAAATTATGCAAGTATGTGGAAACTAAGCAAAATATAGTATACCCCTGCACAGTTATGGTTTAGAGTTCGTGGCCTCAATCTTTCATGGTTTTTCCCTAGAACCTAGCAAAAAATTGTTCTGGAAATACCCACAATTTCCTGGAAACTGAATATTCTCAGGAGCTTTTCTTTTTGGGGGGTGCTGGAGGTTTTCAAGTAGCCAATCTGGGAGTGTTACTTAGCTTTCCTTGTTGCTGATTGGCTGCTGCCATGTAACCCATCTCTGGCAAATACAGCACCATTCCTGCATTAAAATAGGTTGCTATACTCTGTGTAGCTATGTTTTGGTTTTGTTCTTTTCAAAAACCCAAGACCACTATGATCCTAAGATGCTGCCAAAATAACCCTGCACCTTGTGAGGCTTCTGGCAATGAGCTTAAGTGCTAAGAAGTAGTTTAAGACACTCCAGGGGAAGGTTGAACTACTGTATAATATTTTTATTAAATTAAATTATTATAGTATTGTGTACAGTATTTTAGGCTCCTAGACAGTAGATAGATACACATTGTCTGTATTCTTGGCACTTAGTTCTTTGCAAAGAGAATGTGATTAATAGATGCGTATTGAATGAATGAGGATTTTCCATATTTTTCTTTCTAAATTATTCCCTAATGTCATAGCCATGTACTATTAGTAGCGAATGAATGGGCAAACATCTCTTACCTTGAAGCTGAGAAGTTTCTTGAGCAGGGTTGCCACAGCTAGTATAAGTAGTGACTTAAGAAATGTGTCTCCAGAACCATATTGAATAGAAGTGGTGAGAGAGGACATCCTTGTCTTGTACCTGATCTAAGAGTAAAAGATTTCAGTTTTTCCCCA